GGCGGGAATTTAGAATCGCCACCATTATGTTTTTCATTGACCGCCGATGGTCGAGACGTATCCCTCATTTTCCTTTTTCATGTCAAAAATTTTTTAATGCAATTCTAACATATGTCTTTTTTCTTCGGAGTGGGTTATTGATGAAATAAGTTTTTCAGTGTGTGTGTGAACACTCGGCGAACTCTCCGAGTGATAGATCACGTGTTTTCACTAATTTCTGTCACTGAAGGATCCATTACAATATAACAGTCAATACAACTGCATTATCCTCCAAGTATTCGAGATTCGATTAGAAAAATATATCCGATTTTGAAATCATCAGATATTCTAAAATATCCACCCATAGTTATCGGTGAATTACTTATGAATAGGAGCAAAATAGCGCTGAATATGTTTGTACGTATGTCCAATTAAAAATGCTGCGCGCACTTGATTGCCTGAAACTCTGTCGCGACAAGACAAATTTCAAATAGCATTATATAAATAAACAAACCGTCTTCGAATAAAAGCAATTCTCCGAATGGAATGGCCGCAAGGATTTAATTAGACGATAACTCAAGTGCTTTTGGGTATAACTTTGGATCTCTGCGGCTTCCCTTCCTAGTAAAATTTAATTTGACTAATTGCATATAGAATAGACTCGTTTACAACGGCCGGATAATAAATAAACTTACTTATGGTTTTTAATGTAGAGGAAATACAAAAGGTTAAGCTTGCTGCACGCAAATTTACCTTTTAAACCTAACTACCCGCCCTCATTTATAGTACATGGTATCATCACTCATAGGTGTTGTATTTACGTCCAAATTTTAAATTTTATTGCTATTTTTACATGCAGTGTATTTCTAATGCGTTGTCTCTATTTATTGTTTTGCGTTAGAAACTCCTTTGTACAAACAGTTCTGTATACTCCACTCTTACGTTTTTTTATAGGCTTACCATATATATGGAACACAGAACCGGGACATCGCGGATCGGACAAACCTTGGTTCGATTCCGAGACTTAGTAATGCCTGAACTATCTGAAACTTCTATCGTTCTTTGCAAGTAGGTATCGAGCATGAGAATTAGTTATAAATTAGTTTCCACGCGGGGCCGCCAAAAATTTGTAATATTTGTATATAAAGAGAAATTGTCTATGACTTCCATTCTGCATGACCGGGGCATTTGAGTCTATCGAGCGGGACGCCTGGACAGCTTGTCAAAACCGGGACTGTCCCGGCTTAACCGGGGCGTATGGAAAGCCTAACTTTTTACCACACCCTATCGCAATGTTCTTCAACCGGGTATACGGTCAACCCAAGTTTATACCGGATCATAAGTAGGGTATACAACTGGGAAATGGTATACGAAGGGTGTGCAGCTCAAGTCTAGTATTCTGAACTCTAATATAATATATTTTATGTATCAATTGGATACAACAATGCAAACGCGGCGCACATGAAATATAAAATGTTATTTACGCAGAGAACAGGATTTAGCACTGTGTTACATCACAAATTATATAGATAATGCAGGCACGTGTCTGGGTTGATGATTCCGGCTGCCATGCACCTCGCATGATGTACGTTGAACATTATCCTCGTTGACGCTGGGGCCGGGCCGTCAGTCAAATTTAGACCGTTTACAGCTTAAACTTGTGGACAATAGCTCATTAGATTGTATGGTGATATTGTAGTATGGTCAGTTTTAGTTTTTTTTTTTACAATCTGTGCTTGAAATTTAATGTATATTTAGGCCTTGCAAAAAACATTGGTAAGGTATACAAAGTTCTTGACAAGTTGTAAAAGGTAAAACGGTAAAAAAAGGTTGAGGAACACTGCCCTATCGCCTTCCCTTGCACAACTGTCTGTGTAAGCTGTAAGGGACCATATTATACGCGTTTTATTTCACGTTATTTTTCATATACAGTACTTATCAGAAGGGGTGCATGCTTCACATTTGTGGCCAGTATGGTTTTGTGCATACATCCCGCTTCAATATTGATAATTGTAATAATAACCTTTTATATCTCTTTTACGAGACGAATAAATGAATGGATAATGATTCATTTCCGTACACATGCAATAAAAATATACAAAACAAACAATAATCATAAAATATAATCGGAAGCGTGCGGACAAGGTCGACCGACCCATAATGAGAGTTCCTGTCAGAACAAGGCTTTCTGGCGTAGGCATCGTAACTGCAGTGAACTGAGTTTTGAGCTTGATTGAGAGTAGGTTTACCATACCCCGTTTTTTTGCATGAAATGGTCCGGTTTTGCAGTTTGACAATAATTTATCTGTTTGACACTGTTACAAAAATTTTTTTTAACGGAGACAGACGATTCACCATTGATTTGCGTCTCATTTCATTAGTTCACATAGAAATTAAAATTGTTATGTCATGATATGAAGTATGAACTATGCGTTACTTTAACACCCAACTGTACTGTCGTTGAATCAATCTGACCAATCAATCAATCTGCACCGTCCCGGTTTTTTGCTTCAGAAATAGGATAGCCTGGTTAGGAGGCCTCAATAAATCAAATGATGAAAAGGTACTAAACCTAGATATAACCATTTAAACATAGTTACACTGGCTTCAGGGCATCCCGGCTTCGTTGTAAAGCAGTTAAATTACAAATCTCGTAAAGAGGGTAATCGTATTTACGGAGAAATTAGGCGAACGTCGATAATGATCGGTTTACGTCGCATAACTGCTGTCTGAAAGTGTACGTGGCGAACTATTGCATTATGGGAATGACGTAATTTGCCGGTTCTACGCGGCGACAAGTTTTGCAAGTACGATGGCTCGTGTGCCTGTTTCAGTTTCATTGCGCGTTACAAATATAGCAGTTTCGTAAATAGCCTATTTGTTGAATAGTTGTGAGCAGAGGTTATTTATCGGATTTACCTTCCTCCACACGCAATAATGGATATAGCAGTTTTGTGAACATTTAACCTGGTAGAGTTTTGAGCTTACACTTTCAAGTTAGCAAGTCGATGTCTGGATGTGGCTGTGTCACCCCTGTCTGCCTGTGTGGGATATTTTACCAGTAAAAACGAAGCAGGAATCAGTCGTTTTTTTGACTCTCCCCTCCCGCATACGCCATATTGGAAATCCTAGCGAAAAGAAGGTTTGTAGGGAATTCTTTATGCGCAATATATTACAGTATTACCGTATAAAAATGAATTTGAGTTTGAATTGAATACTTTTGAATTGTGGATTTGTAATGTTATTGAAAACGCTGTGAGGAAATTATTAGACTTATTGAAAAATTATGAAAATTGTGTTTTATAAACTTACAGCATTTAGACAATTACCGTACCTATCCGATTTCTGGATTTTGTAAAAAGCGTATTTTGAGTTCTGCTTTCTAAGAACATCGAAAAAAATAATCCGATTTACTGGTGGAAAATAAGTTTACCATAGCATTTGAGAGTTTTTAGAGAGAAAAAATTCTTTTGGTAGTATGGTGGCCGATGAATATCTGAATGTTGCAATTGATTTCAATTATTATAGAGACGAGCATGGCGCGATCTGACGCCTCTGCTATAGTGCAAGACACCCTCGTTTCAGAGAAAAAATAAGAGTGTGCTAATCTAGGAATCGGAAAATTGTACCCTACTGCATAGGTTTCCAAAGTTCTTTATACAAAGCTCTGAAGCTACAGGGGCTTGTGAGAGAAACGTAGAGGCCTCTCGAGCTATTCCTTCACTTCAGCACTTGTTGAAATACTAACAACTACCCAACGATGCAAATAACAGAATAACGGCATTAACCCTATACTGGCGGGATGACACTATTTTTTAATATAAATATGGCTATAATATGATTGGTCAGTAAGAGTTAACATTCTTTATGTATGTTTCTTAACGTGGACGTAACTCAAAACAAACGCAAAAGACATTTTTGCGCCGTTTCAAGCATGATATAGGCTTGTCCAAGTGTTCGTGTTCCCTGGTTGCACGTCACTCCTTTTTGGCATATTTTCAATTCTACAAGTTTTATATCTGTTAGTATTTGAAAGCTAAGAAATATACAGAGGAATATGTTATTACGTGAAAGAAAGTCATTTGAGCAAACAAACTAGTAATCATCACTCGCACAATAATAATCAAACAATAATTGCACACACTTGAAACTGTTAGTGGAAGCATGCTCTATTTGTTTCTTGAATATGTTGCGTTGCGTTTCATAGCCACTCTTATCTGGCGACAAGGCGATAAATCAAATACTGAAATATGGCATTATCTATACTGCTATAAGTTCCCAAACATAATTTTTATTAATTTTTTATGATGCTCTGTAAATAATAGTCAACCTCATCACAAGATACATACCATCTAAATTTGGAGAACCAAGGCCCGGCTGTACCTATTCTTCGTCTATTCTTCGTCTGCCTCCGTTAAAAAATATTTTCGTAATAGTGTCAAACAGAAAAATTATTTATGACTGTCAAACTGCAAAACCGGACTATTTAAGTCTAGGCCTATTCTATTTTTACAAAAATAATAGCAGATAAACAGGCTTTATATAGCCTACTATTTGTGTTTAAACTTACTTGCAGGTTGGAATAAATATTTTGTCTGCAAAAAATATTTATTTTGCAGTTGAACAAATTACCTAATATTTAAAAAATATGAAAGTCTACTTTGTTTAAGAATTTCAACCCGGGTTTATACAAATAAAAATGGGAAACAAATAAGTTCATTTAAAAAAAGAAATATCGTAGTTGTGAGCTCAATTGTTGAGGTTTCTACAGAGGTTCATCTCTGAAAGAATTTCTCACATCAGTATGTGAACTACTTGAGTGCTACGGTAAATTTTTTTTTTTTCCGATTTTAAATAGAACTCAGTTTGTTTCCCAGTAATGTTGAACATTCAGAATCAAGCTTCATACCTCACGTTTCTCGAAAAATCATGTCCATGCAATCGAAGCAAATTCGATATCTTGTTTACCGTGGAGCACAGTTCAAGATGTCTTACCATATTCCCTTTCCATTTTCCAAGATAAATATAAAACTATTGCTCTTCTCAATCTTTTACAGAATAATAATTTAAAGGGTAAATAACCTAGGCCAATCAAAATGTCTCAGAATCAAATGGTTGGAAAAGCAGAGGATATTGCAGATAATGTGAGTTATGCTTTTTGTGTTGTCTGCTGGGCTAAAACTTGACATGTGCAAGGGTGGCCATATCGAATACAGTACTAATGTGTAGGCTACATTCAAAACAATTCAGAATACAAGGGAGTACTTGCGAGTTAGAACTCCCTATTAAAATGTAAAAAAATCGTTTTTCTGTATCAAACATAGCAATTTTTGTGACTTGGAAGCGTTTTTTTGGAGGCCAATACTCGTATAAACCCATGTTTCCCGGCCGCCGGTCGGACCCGGCCGTTTTGGTCTAAATTAGAAATCAAAATATTACATCCCTTTAAAAATTTCCTGACTACACCCTTATCTGAATACATTTAAAATCCGACATCAAGTCCATGCTTCTGAAGTAATTCAATAATTTGCTAATAATATTCTACCCAACATTGACAACCAGATGAGGGCAGTCTGTGGTTTGCCATATGATTAAGCTGTGTTATTATTGTTCTTGTCCACTGTGATAGAAAGATATCCACACAATCCAACAAAATAATAATTAGGTTCGAAATGAACTAAGTCATCAAATTTGACTGAGCAGGAAGACTACTTGTCAAAGTTGTATTAAAATTCGGTTCAGAGTCTGAAATCAACATAGATCTTGTATCTGTTAAAAGTTTTTCAACTCTTGAGTTGGGGTCTGAACCAGAGTGTAAATTTTTACAATCCCGGTATTTGAAATAGTGGATAATAATATTCCATATTTTGCAGGTTTTGAGGAAAACTAAGTTTATTTTGCCTCATCTTGGTCGTTTCTGCCTTGTTTCAACATTTGTAGAGGATGGCATCAGGATGTGGGTACAATGGTCTGAGCAAAGAGACTATATTGCAAGGTTGGTTCAAGATTCCTATTCTGAGTGGAACACTGACCTGGTAGTTAGTGCAGCGGTTATTAACAGGGGTTCGCGACCACTCAAGGGAGCCGCAGAGCAGTTGGAAGGGGGGCACTATACTAGGCATAATTTAATTGATTTTCTATTTTCTTTTACAAGAAGATTCCTCGTTGTTCCTGGTTTCATTACTTGATTTGTAATTTGGAATCCACCAATCGAAATAGCATACTAGGCATAATTTAATTGATTTTCTATTTTCTTTTACAAGAAGATTCCTCGTTGTTCCTGGTTTCATTACTTGATTTGTAATTTGGAATCCACCAATCGAAATAGCACTATACCACTGGAATGATATACAGGGGGCCGTGAGTGCCAAAATCACCGGCCCTGAATAGGTCCTAATTTGTTACTTATCGATCTTAAGATCGGTATCTTAAATATAAACATCAATTCTTAATATTTCCAAATCTTCGATTCGTTGTGCCGTTGTCCGTAAATAAAAGTATAATCTCTTTTTCCAGTACTTGGAGCTGCGGAGCTTTCCTTGCTACGATGTTTGTTTTAATAAACATGCTCGGACAGATAGGAGCTTGTGTTGGAGTTTTAATCAGAAAGCAGGTTTGTAACTTTGTTGTATAAATGACGCTCCAGAAGTATGTGTACCAATATGGAGGTAACTAATTTTGTTCGCCTACTTTACATCAATTTGTATGAAGGGACTGAAAGCCATTGGCAGGGGGTATATTCACTTGGCTAACACAGACAGTCCCCGAACTCGTAATAGAACTAAAATAAGGAAAATCGGAGTAAAATTATGGCCTAACCCAGGGTTGTCCAAAACGAATCGAATATTCGAATGTATTCGAATATCAAAGTATTCTAATACCTTTTCGGCTGATTTTCGAATAATTCCGAATAGTAGCCACTCTTCGCCGTAAACGTGGTGTTTCGTTTTACGGGAATATTCAAACGACTTTTTACGCTGTCTCACGTATTGTAATGACGATGAAATAGAATCGGCATTTTGATTGTTTATATTCTGTGCGACGGTACGTCGCCTAGTGTTGCGACATATTTGCACGTTTGCGCGGGTGGACATTGCCGACATTCGTCTACAAGGCTTTTAATTTACAAATTCATTTCCATTACGTCAAAAATTCGTCTAATGAGTCGCTTTTCTAGGCGGGTGGGGGTCTAATTGAGAAAGTATGTTTATTTTATTTCGATGTGGCCTAATTTTTATTTGCATGAGTCTTCTCAAGCATGATTTGTGTAACCTTTATATTGGGTCTTAGGGTCTGCCAATCATGATATTTAATCGCAGGCCGGTTATCGTTACTTTGAAGAGAAACACGGCCACGAGATAAAGTGATTTGTGACCCTTTCGTTTGCTGATTCAGCAAAACACGACAGGGGACAGGAAAACACAGCTGTGAAAGTGGACGTACAGTGTAGTAGTTATTCATCAACATTCCAAAATTATTTCAACATTCGGGGTTAATAGGTTGTCCAAATGATTGCCGCTTTACAAACTTTAAATTTACTGCTCAATTGTTAAAAATAGTTAATTCTGTGATATGATTCTACCAAACTAACATGATCTGGTTCTGAACATATAAAATTATTAGCGAATTTTTCTACCCGTCTTATTGGAGGCCTATATGGAAAACTCCTTTTTTGAGTGCTAAAAATAGACATCGTCCTATTTGCCATATAGACTTATTAGCGGGGAAATACGGTATTTATAGCCGTCATTGTTACGTATCCAATAAATTGTCACAAGTTGGAAAAACAAGTCGAATTATTAGAAAATAATTTCTGGCAAATAATTCTGATACGATAGTTAAAGTATTGATCCTTTACCAGGATGATTTTTGTTGCGCAAATAATCCAATCCATGACTGGTACCAGCATTTTAAAATGTCATGCCGTATTAATTTAATTCTGTTCAACGTAACGTCATGGTTGTATCGACAATCTGTGGACATAAAATGTGTGTAAACTGACCGATATTATTGAATATTGATTCCTATTTTCATATTGATAAAGTAATGAAAGTATTAATGCCAAATACAACGGGTATTTGTGGACATGAAATACGTGGTAAACTGCCCAATTATAATTAATTTCGGATTCGTGTTTACAAAATAATAAAACTAATAATTTCTAAAATGCAACGGCGATCTGTGGCCTTCAAATGTGTGGTAAACTGCCCGATTTACCAACATTTGAGTTATGATAATAGAATTAAATTAACACGGTAAGGCATTTCAAATAGAGGTATCGGTCATGGATTCGAATATTTTGCGCAGCACAAAATCATCCTAGTAAAAAGTCCATACTTTTAAATACAAACCAATGGCAACCATTATCCAAATTAGTTCCCAAAATGCGGGATAAAGTATAAATTATTTTCCAACGTGTGACTATTTTTTCGTGAGTACGAAAATAAGAATTAAAAACTAATTATATTCGGCACAATATCATGGCAATCTGTGGACATAAATTGTGTGGCAAACTCGCGATTAATATTAATTTTTGATTCCTATTTTCGTATTTACAAAATACAACGGCGATCTGTGAACTTAGAATGTGTGATAAACTACCCGATTATAAATAGTTTTTGATTCCTATTTATAAAAAATAAAAGTATTATTACTCAAACATACAACGGCGATCTGCGGACTTAAAATGTGTGGTATAGTTCCCGAATATAATTAATTTTTGATTCGCATTTTTGTACTCACAATAACCAAAATAACTCATACTTTATCCCGCTTATCGGCAAATAATTTGGATAATGGTTGGTGTTTAATTAAGAGTATGGGCGTTTCACTAGGATGATTTTGTGTTGCACAAATATTCAAATCCATCACCGATACCACTATTGCCGTATTAATTTAATTCTGTTAACATGACTCATGGTATATAAAATATATACTGGAATATGAAATGCCTGGTAATAAAGCTAGGTTGTAACTTCTAGATAGCAGGTATTCCATTGCTTATTGTATGGAAATTCCTACATACATTTAGATAAGCTTCAATTAGTGGATTTTATTTTCGAAGTATTCGAAATTTCATATTCGAAAAAAATAATTTCGAATGTATTCGAAATAGTGAACTATTCGGTATTGGCCATCCCTGGCCTAACCCCAACCTGGTACACATACTACAGGAATACTGTATAATTCGCAAAGATATTTTGTTGTATTAAGATGCATCTCTGTTCTTGATGTATCACAGGGTATTTGGTTGTATTAAGCTGCATTTCCGTTCTTGTTGTATTCATTGGGGTATTTGGTTGTATTAAGATGCATCTCTGTTTTTCAGGTTCAGATTATGTGCGGAATCTTATTTTTCATCATCAGCCTGCAAACCATCGCTTACAGTATTCTGTGGGATCTGAAGTTTCTTGCTAGGTAAGATTCAGGTTTTATAATTTTATTCTAAACAAGTCTTCAGACAAGTTTGGGGCTTTAGAGACAACATTCTAGGACTAAAATCTTGTCAATTGGGCATAGCCTGACTTACTCAGAGATGACAGTAATCCGGGATGACCGAAAGTAGTATTTCAAATACATTCAAAATGATCTTTTTGAATATGAAATATTGAATGAGTCTCTTCCACAAGAGGAATTATGACAATTGTAAATAGTAGAAATCAAATTTGGTCATTCAGAATAATTAAGATAAACATTGTTTTAATTAGTGTTCCCTATTTTATTCTGTCAGCAGTTACTAATTCTTTTCTAACATGAAATAATAAACGCCCAAAGCGACATTTTCAAATAAAAAAGTTTTTCCTAAAATTAAGAATTTACCAAACCGAATATAACCAATTTCTAATGTATTCGATTCATTTTGGACATTCCTGACTCCTATATTTTGAACATTGAAACAGCATTATTGTCAGCGGATAAATCTTAATTTTGTTTCGCTTTTATTGACAGAAATCTTGCCCTGGTGGGAGCAGTTTTGTTACTGCTTGCAGAGAGTAAAGCAGAGTCGAGATCGTTGTTTGCTGGCGTTCCTCAACTCGATCGTAACACGCCGAAGTCGTACATGCAACTCAGCGGACGTGTTCTACTTGTTCTCATGTTCATGACGTTACTGCACTTTACTTTCAACCCAGTCGATGTGAGTTATTATAGTATTCGGTGCTTTCTTGGTGTTTTCATGTGGTGGTGTTCACAATGAATCAGCTGATGTAAATGTAGCTACAGTGGTTCCCAAATAGGGGTTTCCCCGCATATTATTGGGTTTTGCTGAGTCGTTAAATTAGCCAAAGTCATCATTTTTAGCTCCGGTGGTTCCCAAATAGGGGTTTCGCCGCATATTATCAGGGTCGTTAATTAAGCCAAAGTCATCATTTGTGGCTACGGTGGTTCCCAAATAGGGGTTTCCCCGCATATTATCGGGGTCGCTAGTGTCGTTAACTTAGCCAAAGTCATCATTTATCAAAATGACTCGAGTTACTAAGTCGGTGGTTTTCGAAGTTGATAGATCGGGGGTCAAAATTAAAAGCGGAAGGATATTCGCGGGCCAGAAGAGGGGGGGTACCAATATGTCTGAATAAGATACCGGTATAATCAAATTGTTACGAATATACTCATGCTTAAACTGTGATAATAATGTAACAATTGGCGGTATCTAGATCGCAATAAGGTAGAAACAAAGTGTTTAATTATTTCACTAAGTTATATCCGTAATCTAAGGATTTTGCTTTGAGCAAATTTGAAATATGAACTTCCAACTAGTAAAACATACAGTCCGCTCTCAGGTGCCATCTAAATTGTTAAACATAACCCATTTTAGAATATACTTGGCATTCAAGAATATTAAGTGATTTAGTCATCATGATCTTTCCTGGTTTTCATAATGCTTACGCTAAGTCATGTTTACCAAAGTTCGTGGAATCAAAATTTTGAATTCACTGTTGTTAAAATTATAGACCTTCAATGATAATAGTAAGATTCAAAATATCTTCGGAAACTCGAAAGCGATAATCATACAGTGTTCTTCATAGCCTATTAATAAAAAAAGCCTTGCATACCACAAAGTTTCTGTGAAGTAAATTTCATTTTTTAGTTCGGCAGTCGAAAGTCTTTTACAACCAAGAAAATTTGTCTTGTTAGCCTCCCTATTAGATAGGGAAAAAAAATTGCCTCAATTGACCATACATGGTGACTAACAGCTTTTGATTAGCTTTCTAAACTTGAAACTAACATCATATATGCGGCACTTTCGATTCTCCGTTGTTCCAAATTCAATGAGAAATTTCCAAAGAGCGCCAACTTGTGAAATGGGGGTAGCTCACACCAGCTTTTGAAGGTTTGTGGTATAAATGCAATGGTAAGTGTAGGATACGGGTGGTAGATTAGATCATTGTGTTTTAGACTAAACTTCCAGGGACACGATATGGATAAACTACGGCCCGCAAGTCAAATCCGACCTATTGGGTAATTTAATCTGGCCGGCCTGATGCTGCCACAACCAAACCACAACCATATTTTGATGTTTTAGCAAAAACGAACTTAAGGAATTTGTAAGGATTGCGGTTAAATTTAGTTTTGTTTCGAGGCTTATTGTTCTCCACTTTTGCTTTGTAAAGAATGTCCATGAAATGTAAATTTCACATCACACTTACATGGCCCGTCATTCGAGATGAAGCGAAAAATTTTGGCCCCCTTGTCCAAAAACGGTGCCCACCCCTGGTTAAAGCTAGAGATGTACCGATACCACTTTTGTCGCCGATACCGATCCGATACCAGCTAAAAACGCCGATACCGATACGCCGATACTACAAAAAGGCCGGTATTACCGATATTCCGATACCGATACTATGTAATTATTACTTAATTAGGTATGCTGTGTAGGGCAGACGGGTTAAAACAATGGTCTTTAAGCGTTGTTCATAGTACACATTATTTCAGATCGAAAAATATATATAAATATCACATAATATGAAATTAATGTTTGGTATCCATATTCTGTAACTGATTAAGATACATTGTACAGTAACGCTAGTAATCTCGGTGTTTAATTAGAAAACTCATAAGCCGGAATGTCCATTTTAAATTTAATATTAATATCGCGAGCTTCGAATATCGTTATTCGTGTTTAAAAGAATATCGAATATCACCCACACATTCTAGCGCCGCCGTCCTACATTCAAATTAAAAGCATTTTACAAATATTTAATTTAGTGGCTAATCGTAATCGTCGACGCAATAAGTCAAAGCCAACATGAAAGAATATCAATCAGCACCGACAAAAAGAAAGCCCACCGTTAACCGTTGAGGATGTTTTTTTACTTCGCTATTTTATAATATTTTACAATTGCTATCAATAATTTTGAGACAGTCTAGGGCTAGGCGGTCAAGTCAATATATCTATAAAGAAATCGTGTAGTTGAGCGGAATTAAAATTAATACCTGTGTAGTGGGATAATTGTGTCGGAATTTAGTTTATCGATGTCGACGGACTAAATGACACTCGTACTTGACAACAAAAGTCAGAATTTATGCCCGCAAAAGTCCATGTGCTGTTAATAAGGAAGGACCCCAATTCCACTGTATGATTTAAAACTGGGCGCCTAGTTGCTTTTTGTTATGTGCTGTGTTGATATATTTCTTCATAAAAACTATGTAATATTAAAAATGTCAATATAAAATTTGACAGCGAAAATAGCCAAATTAGTTGAGCTAGTTCAGCTGATAAATAGCTAAAAACACGTGAATCCTATTCTCTCGCAGGGGTGGGAACATGTATGGCTCATAGCTCACGATCTCTCCAGACAAAAATAAATTAAAAAGTAGTATTCCAACTTATCTTTTAAAACATTCTGGACCATATCAAAAAGGTAAATATATCGGTAATATCGGCCTTAATCTAACCGATACCGATACATGGCCGATACCGAAAAAATGGCCGATATTGCCGATACCGATACCCGATACCGATACATCGGTACATCTCTAGTTAAAGCATAAGACTAAACAATCCCAGGTTACAAATCTCTGATTCAAATTCGTGTTCTGTAAGGATTGCTGAATTCCTCACTGCCTAGGGCGCTCACTGCGCTGATTTTGATTTGACAAGACTCCAATATCAAGTCTATGCAAATAGAATGGAGAACTGGTCATCTAATGCAAACACCGTGATTCGCTCGATGATTAATGGGCCCGGAATAAAAGTGAAAATCCTATCCTATGATAAAGCTATCCAATTGCCTTTCCTCTCCCACTGGATAAATACGAAAATCCATCCTATTGGTTATCATATAGATAGATCATTTACTGATTAAAGCGCCTTATTAGCTGCCTGAATGCTGATTTGGAAAAATCCCAAATAGTTCCAAATTCCGAAAATAGTTGCTTCTTAGTGTATCAGTGTCTGCCCGTACAACTTTGTTTGAAGTCAAGGTGATTCAGACTCCCCCAAAAATATTGGCTCTTCATGAAACAGTGGCTATTCACATGCGAAAATGCCTTATGGGAAAAATAATAATAATTATAGTTATATACTAGGCCATGCATGTTGTGGGTGTCTTTCTAAATTAATGATTTTCCTTTACAGCTGATTCAGAATCTCATCGGTTCCGGTCTGATGCTTCTCGTTGCCGTCGGTTACAAGACGAAACTGAGTGCAATGGTGCTGGTGGTTTGGCTATTCTGTCTTAACGTTTATCAAAATCAATTCTGGAGATACGCTTCCACGCGAGCCATGCACGACTTCCTAAAATACGATTTTTTTCAAACGATGTCAGTTATAGGAGGTTTGATGCTCGTGTAGCGCTCGGGCCAGGCGGTGTCAGTGTTGATGAAAGAAAGAAACTTTATTAAGAAGCAGAAATGACAAAAAATTTGTTACAAATAGAAATTCAGAAACCAAAATTTACGGAATGTTCTTAGGCCGGGCGGGGGTGTTAGTTTTGTATTCTCCAGTTTAATGTATTATGGGTTAGGTTAGCGGTTCTCAACCTTTATTCTCTTCAGCATCAAAAGAGCATCTTGGCCCACAAAACCTTTGAATAAAATTTCGTAGAAGATATCGTGAAATGTTTTTTTTTAAATATAAATGCTGTAAAAGTGTCAATGACTAAACTTGTGTCTATTTATCAACTTGTCAAGTTGAACTTCCAAACCTTGTTTCAATTTCAGCCTCTCTGTAAATTTGGCCTGTATTTGGGGGTGATATTTGAAAGCACGACCAAATGCGCCTGTAACCAGTGGTTCCTAACCTTTCTCCCAATTTGGATCTTTTTATTTTTTCCTCCCTATCCCCACGCACAACTCCACACTGGCGTTTGTACAGTTTGAATAGTTATGTAAGATAAAATAAGTTTGACAATGATACTGAACAATATTAGTAAAAATACGAAGTGATATTTTTGTATTTCCTTTAAGGCCGGATTGCTCCTGGTAGTGAGCAGTGACTCATCCAGGGCGTGGCAATTTATAGACAGAAATATTTCAATCGAATAATTTCAAATTGGAAATAATTGGAAGTTGAAACTCTAATTTTAATCAAAATATTAATGTTTTAAGTATCTCAATTCAACTGCAGTCTTTGGAAATTGTCAACCAATAATGAGGCGCGTTTTAAAATTTTGGGATCGGTGCCATTTCACCTAGATATGCCACTGTTATCGTGTGTGAGATTTTGCACAGTTACAATAGTTCATAGTCTTTCCATATTACAATAATATCAAATGAGTAAACAATATTAGTCAAACTACACCTTCAACTTATTTATTACTTATGTATAGTGTTGTGCCACTACAATCTGCACATTTGAGGGGGGGGAATTTGAATCAAAACGAGAGAATGAAGGTTGAGAAGCCCTGATAGTGTCCATGCTGCTAATTTTTATTGTTTGTTTCAATACAATGTGGGTGAAGACTAATTTTTATTTTTTTTGCCAAAAAATCATTTTCGAAGCTTTATTATATATATATTAAGTGCTATACAATATTACTCACAATTTGTTGATTTTGTTTCCAAAATTCCTTTCGTCTTTCACTCATTGCTGGTCAATTTATAATCGAACACAAAGTATCCGATAACACAGTTTTTTCAACCGGCTTCCGCAAGTTTGCATACAAATCAGTCCATAGTTATGCCTTCTGTTTGAATCTAATCAAATACACTGGTATAATATAATAACCATGTTTTGCTAGTGTCGTGTGAAAGACCTTTGTTTTTTTTTTACCAAATTATTTCTATTGTTTCGCAGTTCTTTGATCGGCATCTTATATTATTACAAATATGAAAAAAAGTAATAAATTTCACAGTGGTTCCTCCAGCTTCTGGGAGCTCCACTGAGAAAGTTGAAATCCATTGCGATATCTGGATTAGGTTCCCGTCTTCACTTAACCAAGTATTAAGTATTCAAGTATTACTTGGGTTTTAGCGTTGTAAAAAGGTTGCATTCGACCTCCAGTTTTGAAAAGTTCAATAATTGTCTCTGTGTTAGCAAAATTTTAGACTTTGAATCTCGTCAAAATGAAATTGTCAAAACTAGTTCAATTTTACGTTTCATTTCGTGTTCTGAAATAAGTTTAAAATCAGATAATCTTAAGTGTATACTATTTTTCTCTTGTCTAGAGTTTTGTTTAGAGTAAAAGTGTTTAGGGGGGAGTATTTGGAAATTGTATTTTGTATTATGACTTCATTATCATGAAAATTTGCTAAACTTCATTCTTACGGCTCTACATTCATCCGTTGAAGCATTGTATTATCCACGGGGTCATGCTTAAATGCTCTGGACCAATCATTGCCAAGGATTTTTTTTAAATGGTGCAAAAATGTAGCATTTGTTGTGTGATCTTTTCTGTTGTCCTGACTGTTTTAACCACTGCCTTTGTTCGGCCATTTGTAATTTTTTTTCTTAACATTCAGTAAATTAATAGTATAAAGTCTATATTTTTCCCGGTGTCTCGAAAATTTTATGTCCCACTTTGCTACACTGTTCAGGGTTAGGTCAGTGGATATACAGGGTGTCCATAAAGTCCCTTTACAATTTTAATTTTGTTATGAAGTCAGTTTTCAATATATTTTAACCAGGTTTGTTGTTTCTTAATCAGCAATTGTTCAAGTATTTTTTACTTCATTTGATACATCTGTGAGGGCCAAAACAATATATAGTCTCGATAAATTCTCGTTGCAATTTTAAGAAATTTCAAGACTTTATGAACACTTTATATATTGTGATGCAAATGGTTAAATTCCTGGTATGTCCTGGTTAGGATGAATTTAAATATAAAAAATATGATTTTTACGTGATATCTACATGCTAATGGCCTTCAAATTCTAAGGCGAAATTTGACATGAAAAAATATTTTAAAATATTCAGAAATTAATGAATTGTAGGATAGAAGTTGACTGACTGTGGCTTATCGAAAACAAGGGTTCTTTGTCTTTATTCTCTCAACCTTCGCACTTATTTCAAAAAGTAAAATTGACCCTTGCCCCATTTTTTGAAAACTTGTTACGCTATGCTGGATAGTTTCTATAGCAAGAGCATAATAGCGTCATATATTATGGAATCCAGACAATGGCCGCATTTGTGAAAATTTAACCTCTCAAAACAAGTAAAATTCATCCCCAAAGCGAATCAGATCCACTCTGTAACCGTGTGTCCCTTCTACAGGGAATCCCTGTGCTCGAGCATGCATGAACACCTCAACTTTTTTGAAGCATTTTGAAAATAATTAGTCTCAAAGCAGCATATTTACGAGGTGTTCAGTGCGAGCAACCTTTATATGAAATTGGGTATGAAATAAACCTATATTTATTGAAGTGTATCAGGGGACACTCTTGTTATTTTTAGTCGAGAGCCTGCCTTGCTTTGAGCACAAACTTATCTTATCAGTTGTCATAAAACCCTTCTGCCTGAACTTTCCATTTTTAGTTGAGGGCTTGTGACATTGCTTTGAGCAAGCTTACATATGGGACAACCTAAGTGAGTTTTTCAAAAATGGTGCCCGCTTACACAATGAGCCATTTTAAGACATCTTGAAAGTTTATTAGGTTCAGATAAGTTCCAAAAGCGTGACATGACTTTTGCTGCTATGTGTTCTTGTTCTTAGATAACAATTTCGTCTGTTGTTGGTTTTGTAAACAGTTTGACTGAATCTTATAGTTGAGTATAGCTGTGGTGGTTACTGAGCTGGGAAATTGGTCAAAAATTTAATATTTTGTAAATTTCCCAAATTTTGGGGGCGATAAGTAGCCATCGTTTGGCAATGGTATTGTGCTAAAACTGTGGTTTCGAACCTTTTCGGATCTCCTTATATCTCCCTCAACTACTCAGTAATAAAACTATGTTTCCATTTGTTATTCAAACTTTAAGGAGTTAGTGAAATACGCAACTCTCAGTCTTGCTTTTGTTCAGTTTTAATAATTTACAATCTGTGTAGAAGTTGAAAATATTAACGAATGCAAAGTTTAATAAGAGAAAAATAAAATTCCTTTCTTGTTAGGAAATGCTGCTTTGTTGTCTAATGGTTTCTGAACCCCAGTTCTCTTCATTCACCCATATTTTTTTGTGTTGCCCCCACTAACTGTAAATCTCCACCGAGGCCGCGATAGTTTATTTCTTGTAAATGTGTCTTAACTTTATTGTGCATTAAAATGTTCTGGCTGATACATGCTTTCATTTATTTACTCCACAACAGGGGAGACTTTTACGTTACGCACTGCGGATTGGCTTGATTTTTTTACAACCGGCCGTCAAAAAAGTTATTCACAATTCTAAGGCTTTTAAACCAAAAGTACGGCCTTTGAAAGAAAGATGTTATGAGAACGTTATCATTCGTTAGGATGAAACAACGTATATTTCTGATTTTTCAAACATTGAATTGCTTCGGTTTTTCATTTTTATTGTTTTCAAAATTTCAAATCCTGTCTCTAAACACGAGGAATCTGAGAAAATTATAAAAATAATGAATAAATAGAAGCAGTAGTGTCTATTTCCCTCAAAGTCCTGGGAATTTGATCACAACGGCAATTTATTAGAACAGTACATATACACCCCATGTTTGCAATTATGCCAACTGCGCGAATGATATGGCAAGTAGTCGTGCAAGTATTAAATATGAGATGTTTAATGGACTCGCCGTCAACGATGTTCATGCAAACGACGCACTAGTTGTCGATGAAGCCAGTTCAAGGGTTTTCATCGCACCCGTTCTTGTTTTAAACGTTGGACGGCGCAGCAAATGGCAAACGAAAAATATGGGTATTGCTACAAAATTGGTAGCTGCTTGAATGTCAGTTCTTGCTAGTATCAAGCTTTGTTCAGGGAAAATGCATGAAATACATTAAAAATATTCTTATTATCGTGTCGCGTGGTGTTTTCAATTCCCGCTTCTGTCATGCATGGGGTGGCTTGATTGTGAACGTTTCCTTTTATCTGCTGACAAGGTGAGTGTATTATCCTTACTTGTTTTTTGTTAACTAATATGTACATAGATGTAACCAGGGGGGAGAGAGCCATGACCAACCCCAGAACTTCCACATTTTTTTTTTGAAATTTCGCGGCGTTTGCAGCGCCAACACCATTTCACTCTATTCTCGAACGATTTAATGAAAATCGGCCGAGTAAGAGTCTTTTTACGTCATTATACAAAAGAATTTGGCACTTCACAAAATTTTGGGCTGGCTCCGCTCTTGGTTGGAGAGGATCGACTTATCGACGACAGTCATAATTTATCAATAACTTTAGAGTAGCGCGAGTGATCAGAACGTGATGACTCGGTATTGTACTTTACGGCCAGTGAGCTCTGTCGCCGACTCAACTTTACCATTGTTTACCTGTGATTGGGCTCAACTCAATATCTAAGAACTTCTGCATAACCTGCTTTATTATGTGCCTGTTGTATAAATAACAGTAGTTCGAAAATAGTGTTAGTGTTTGCAAAGTTATGTTTTGTAATGTACCCGGAATTCAAAGTTTGGTTGACTGCTTAGTAAGACTGCAAACCTGTGACGTAATCATCTTTAGGCCTATAACGGGATTTTGCATCGAGAGGGAAATACATCGCTGGTATAGAATATTTTGAAATCTCCAAATTACACACAGATTATAAAAACCTAAATGTTTAAAACATGAGAAATATCATGTGCCCACCTGCACACATACAAAAATTCACACGAAACACAAACACCTACGGTAGTTAAAAAAGGCTTGGGCCAGAAATAAACATACAAATGTATTGAACTTTCCGGCCGCTGTACTTTAAATCTCACAGAAGGCTATTTTAAATGCAGAGCAATTATTCAGCGACATATGAAATCAATCAGAGGAGAGTCTTTGGTAAATTGTGAGTCGTGTCAATCACGAAATCTGCGATCTGATGGATCTCGTATCTAATCTTTAATAATTATCTATTTCTATATTTTAGTTATATAATTCAGCAAAACCATGCCGTACCCACCGCCAATAACAGTATTTATATGACTGAATTCCCCGATATTTTAACTGGATATTAGAACCGTGGGTGTCACTGCTCGATAACCAGATTTGGTTCCGCGCGGCTTCCCTTCCACAGTAAAATTGTATGATTACCTTTTTATTAAATATATATTGTATGTGATTGTTTTTCCTGAGTGGAAAAAATAAACTTGACTTGACGGTTAGGTGCGTATAGCCCAAGTTATTTCATTTAGAAAGATAATCGAGTCTAAGGTAACTGCTAACTCGCCCTAACACAGCTTTCTAGGCCAAAATGTTTGCTAATCCCAAAGTTGAGCTTCGTGCTAAATATAACAAATATATATTTCACAGATCTTCCTTGACATCGGAGGAGGCGTTTGTATTCTGTGCATTCTGATTGGATTCCATGCTCGTAAGGCGGCAATGGCGTTCGCGATCACGCTCATGACTTTCAATATCGTTCACAACAATTTCTGGATTCACAGCGGCATCATGAACGATTTCCTCAAATTCGACTTCTTCCAGGTAGGTTATGTTTCATACACTCTCACTACGAATAAGAATCTGTGCGAGAAGTCAACGATATGCAAGAACTAGGGGAACTTGGATATTGTGTATTGAACTGCCTTTCTCCTTGATTACTTTCTACTTCGGATACTTATGTGGCACTCACTACAAGGATGCTTGAACGAGATAGTATTGAAGTGAAAAGTAAAAATAACATGATCTCTTTCAACGAAATATTAGGTATATATGCAAGAAGCTGCGATATTTTTCAACCCTTGGGATATGATTTTCCGAGAAATACCGAGAATTTATGAAATACCGAGATTGATCATATGGCGAACTACGGCCTTTCGTCCGGTTACCAGTCCATGCCGGAATGTGAATAGTTATTTGTTTTAGATGCAATGGACTTGAATGTCGCTTTTCGATAACCAGCTTCGCTTCCCCAATAAAACTCAGTGAATAATTTTTTCTGGGGTTAGAAAAAATTGACTTGACGGTGCAGGAAGCCGTAACCTACCAGTGGCTACGTTAACCACCCTTCGACGGTGAGAAGTTCAGCAATTCTATCAAATATAACTTTTCCTCACGGAATTGGAACCTGTGAACCCACGCAGAGTAATCAGAGGTGCCATGACAAGCGTATTTCTAGCCCTTTCGCTCAAACGTAGGAGAGTTCCCATTCGTGCCATTCTCAATCTTATACTGGTTATTTTCAGACTACTTCGGTTGTTGGCGGCTTGGTCATGGTGGCGTCAGAAGGTCCTGGCGGTTTCAGTTACGAAGAATACAAGAAAACTCAGTGATGGATCTGATTGGTTAAACCAGTGATGACGGAATAATGAAATATTATTTAAACGACAAACTGATAAAATATATTGCACAATAGTTTATAGGTTCAGCAATTTCAACTTTATCATCGGCATTTTAGACAATTTAATATTGAAGCATTATACAGGGTGTCCGAAAAATTTCTTTCGATTTCATAGTTATAACAATTATAAGTTTAAATAGATTTTATTATGTGATAAATAAGAACTACAAGCACAATAAGAATTAGAAATTTTGATCGTTATTACTATGAAAACGGGCGAAATTTTTGGACACCTTTTATTATCGGAAATCCTCACTAATAGTAAAATACTACCTTCTCATATCACAGATTAATAAAAAGATTTTCAGCTCATGTATTGCTGCGTTTTCTTATTATAAGAAGTACCTTTGCGTATAAACAGTTGGCTAAGATAGCGCATGTCGGTTATCGTGACTGGTGATGGTGTGACAAGGGCGGGCAATTACTTTTCCGAGTTTTAGAAAATAGACTTGGTTACTGTGCCGAAGACTCAAAAGATAAAAGTAGAAATAAAAAACAGTTTATTCACAACTGCTAGACAGCAGATGGGTAACGTGCGACCGCACTAGTCGTATATTTTGTGCCATGATAATCCAGCTTACGTAGTGGATTACAAACATTTTCTGATATAAGGGAACCCATTATTGTGAATTCGATGCAAAGAGCACTCGTTATTGAATTTTTCAATCTCGGAAGACCGGACAGATTCTGGCGCCTCCAAACTATGGTAGATTATCTGGCTTACCTGGTAGTGAGTGACGGATCGCGCAGTCTTCAATCTCATCGTGAAAAGCGCATAAGAATAATACATTCTTCAATACTGAGATATTAAGCAAAACAGCGCCCGAAACTTTTTGTATGTGTGAGCCGGCGGCGGGCAAAAAATACTTGGAATATAATATTTTAAAAAACATTACACGGAGCCGTGAATATGAAGAGGGTACCAATTCATACAAACCATGAAGCTCAAAAAACGTTGTCAATTAATTAATCGTTATATTAATCCGATATTACTCCTATTTTAATGTCGGAAGAAATCTTAGACGAAAATATCCGATTTTATGGTTAGATTCACCATCGCCTAAGATTTCAGTTAGAATGAATATACAGGGTGTCCAAATAATTTTGCCCGATTTTTATTCTTAATTTTTTTTGCATGGTAAATGAGAACTAGGAGAGCTACAATTGTTATTACTAAAACATTGGGCGAAATTTGTAAACGTCCAACACTCGAATTGCGTCAGCGAAAGTTGGATTTCTTCACCGTGCCCGCAAATATTTGTATGTATGTATGTTTATTCGTCTCGTAAAAGAAAAAACACAGGAGTTACTAAATATCAACATTAAAGACGGGATGTATACACAAGACCATACGGGCCTAAAACACATGAAAGTGCGTCATACACCCCCTAAGATAAGCATAAAATGCAATAAATCAAATAAGTATAATAATATGGTCATTCATACAGACAGTTGTGCAAGGAGGGTGGTTGCGTAGCAATATAGGCAACAGGGGGGAAGGGTGGGGTATGTCCAACTGTTTGTACAAAGGGGTTGGTAGGACAAGACAACCTCGTCAATATCTTAAAAATCAATTCTACAGACGTACTTCGCTGTCGAAGTCTAATTCTAAGGCATAACTTCTCAAAGTGCTCTGTACGGAGACCCAGGGATCCGTGTGAGAAACCTAGAGGCTCCGCAAGCTATTCGATTACTTATCAAAATACTGACTTGGCTAATTTTGTAACTGTTCAAAGAAGTAATAACAGCATGAAATTTGACAATAGTAGCGTCGAAATATGGCAACGAGGCGGTAATTCAAATATGACATTATCTATAACAAAGTCCACAGCCAGGATTTTTAAAAACGGAGAGGGTTCAAAATTGGAATCGGAAATTCCCCGCACAACATTCTTCGCGATTGGGCAATTCGTAAAAAAAAAACTTTTTCAGTGGATAATGAGTTTTGTGTTGCGTAAAATATTCAATTCATGGCCGATAATGTCTTGTCATAATAATTCAATTGTGCTCATCGTTACTCGCGTTTGAGTCAAGATTACTATTACGATTATGAAACATTACTATTCTAAAATAACATGAATAAACTGCCAACTATAAATGAATTAGAGTCGTATTTTGCAATCTTGAGTTGAACTAAGTATGTCTGAAGAAGTCTGACCTTGGTCAGACGAAACGTTACAGAAATATATTCGTGTTAGTGTGCAGCAAGACTCTTGAATCATTTGAGATTCGTCAAATTTGAGTTGTTCTTTCAGCATTCAAGAGTATTTTATGCAAGATATCGATCTTACAGAAATACCAAGGTCGGCGTTAAAATCTCAATGAGTACAATTTACAATTGCGCAATCCATGACCGATGCGGATATTTAAAATTCCTTGGTTATTGACTTAATTGTGTTGGCTTAAAAATTGATTAATATACTTTCCATTAAGTATCTTATATGTCGTCACATACCGAGAAAAATTCGCATGCGGCTCCGGTCGTAGTTTTAGAATGGGCAAAAAAATACATCGCGCGCACAGTTGAGTGTGTTTCGATTTTAGTGACTATGGTATGAATCCTAACGAAGCCTAACATAACACCAAATTTTGTGATTTACAATGTCTAAAAAAGGCGTTTTTAATCTGTCGCGAGTCTGCTAAAACAAAACTTATGCGGGTATCTTCCGCTTTAGTTTTAATATTTTATAATGGCGCTTTTCCAATCAAGAAATTCGGGTTGCGGATTCTCATCTTCATTAAATTATTTTAGCATGTCGTCGCCGATAATAAGAAAACACTAACTTGTTTTCACACTTAACTCATAATTCCGTGCATGAACAAAAAAGTAATTTTCGTCGTCCTCGTGGAACAATACATGCATAAGCCGAGTAAAATTTGTGATTCATGGAGAATTAACACCAACGTAAAGATGTTCTCAGTCTTAATTAAAAACACGTGACGCCGACGAAAACAATTGGCGAATTCAACCAAATGCAATCGTGCACGTTATTAGCGACTTTTTCAGTCTTCCAAAAATATTACAAGGTAGGGAGTTTGAACCCGAATTTATTAAGGTGTTTTTTAACATATTTACAGCATTATTATATATAATTTATCTGTGGAATTCAGATTTATTTAAGTCTTGTATTGACTTGTGTTAGGTGCTGTAAGACCGATGACGGATCATTCCGTCCTTCACAGCACCTGTCGTTTTAATATTTATTTATTGCAGATATTTTGTTGTTGATTGTTTGTTTTCTGAAGAGACAAATAAAATAACTCTGACTGACTCTGACCCAATTAAGAAAGGTTTGGCATTTAATTAAATTAAGTAAAGTAATTTTAATTCACTCAGGAACATTAATCGGTAAGTAACAATGTGTATTTTGTCTTCATAAATTTATTGTGAGGCTTCATAAATAATAGTCAACCACTTCACGGGCTCCGTAACACCAAATGTTTGAAAACACCTGATCTATATTTACAAGCGCACATTTTCAACTATCTCGGTTGGTTGATCTGGTGAAAGGATTGTTGATAGCAAGCCAGGAAAAGTCAGTTTTCAGTAAATCGTTAAAGGATAGAGTAAAATGGTGTTGGAAAAAGCGTAATGATTTATGTCTACTGCAAATGCTGCACAATATTATTAGCTCCCAATTTGAGTCGGAACTGCAAACTCAAACGAAGAAATGTTGCGTCTTTGCGTTTATTTTGTAGATAAAAGACCGTGTTTATCTTAATTCAACACTGCCGTCAAGTCTATGCATATTTTGCTGTAATGGTAATCAAATGATGGTGACATCATACAGATCAGTATTGTACCGGATCACAGTATAGTGCGGTAGTTCCCAACTATTTATGGCTCGTGGCCGCTTTTGGAGGCTTATTGGTCCCCTGTTCACAATTTTAAAAATACGAGAAATACAAGCAATGCGCACATTGATAACATAACTGTTGTTCCATTTCCATTTTGAGTAATAGGAATTCAAATATATATATATTTTTGACTTGGTGATACGTTTACGTAGCTGCATCGTGACTGTTTTGTGAAACTGTTTATCTAAGTAGGCAAGGTTATCTGCATGTTAGGCGGCCTGCATTGTGTGTTGCTGCTCGATAACCAGCTTTGATTCCCCACGACTTCCCTCCCTCAGTAAAACTGTGTAATTACAATTTTCTCGTAATTTGCGCTCGTGGAATATTTTTTGACTGGTTGGAAAAATGAACTTGCCTTGACTTGCCAACAAATTACAAAGAGGTAATTTGGAGCACAGAGGTAATCATAGTATGATTTGGATTGGTACATTACAACTATAAATCATTCATTTTATCTAGTCTTGGCCAATAATTCAATTCTTCTCCAATAACAAACAGTATCAGCAATGTTCTAGGAAACAGGTAGTAGCCGGTTTGCCGGTTGTCGCAAGCGCTCAGATTACGCATCTCATCACTCAGGTGCGGGGTTTTGCGGGTCAGAACGTTGGATCACATTTTTTAAAAATCGCCGATTGGTTTTGTCAGCACGAAGTGCTATTTTGGCCGTAAACACTTTCGCGTTGGTATATTTATTCTCCCTGAATAATCACTAATTTACATCAACATATGCATGTCTTGTTCCATGAGAACGACGATAATTACTTTTTGTAAGATTGTTGCCAAAAACAAGGCATTGTATTAAAATCATCGGCAACGAGATGCTAAAGATAATAAAGGGGTGAATCCGCAACCCGATTGTTTTGGATTGAAAAGCGGCATTGTAAAATACTAAAATTACAACGAATGGAAACAACATGAGTTTTGTTTTAGGAGGCCCGCGACAGATTAAAACATTATGCCGTTAAAAATGTTACCGTTATGGGGAAATACGAATGGAAACAAGGTATAATCGGACACATTGTCACACAATTTTAGGGCCGCGGTATTTTAGGCTGTAAGGTTTTTACTGTATATTTTAATCAACACAACAGCAGGTTACATTGAACACAATTGAATTAATAAAGTAAAAATTTTAAATATGCCCGTATCGGCCATGGATTGAATACTTGAACACTGGATTGTAATCTTCGGGATTTTCACGCAGACAGTGGTATTTTTTTCAATGGTGACATCTTAAATATAATTGTAAGGGGCAGTCGTAATCGCAATTGTAAAAAATAGCTCAAAGTTGGCAAATCCCATCCCACGCACACAAGAATCCGAATCCAATCCATAACCTGGTAGTTTATAGCGTATTTTATGTCGCAGATTGCCTGTAGTTTTTTTAGAGTAGTGGGGCTTTTTTTTTATCGTAATCGGCGCGAAGTCGAGTCACGGTGAACATAATTTAATTAATAT